TATTTTATACACAGCAAAGGTAACTAATACACAAGCCTGGATGAAATGGGGCAAATCTGCCAACATCTCGGTCTGTTCAAGTGGGTACCAGCCATTCAGCCTCCCCACACAGTCTCACTGCCGTCCTCGGCACCCACCACACACGGGGTGATCGTGTGGTGTCCTCATGCCTGGGCCAGGAGCTCTGCCAGCACGGGGATGGGTCTGTTCCCTGGCAGGATCCCCAAGATCTGTCATAAGCCATGAATAAACCCCCCTTCTCCTGCACTTGGAGACGTCACAATGCCACCACTGTCAAAGGGGTAATGAGGTAGTGAAGCCTCAATCTTCCAGATGGCGTTAAGTTAACCTGACCTGACATCTCCAAAAGTAATTACCCAACAGGCAGGAAGTCCTTTACATGCATCCATTCATTCATTCCATCCATTTATTGAGCCCCTACTATGTGCGAGGTCCTCAGGCAAGGCTGGGGAATGCAGTGACAAGCAAACACACTGCGTGCTGAGGATGGGAGCCCTGCAGCAGGGCCCCAGGGCTCTCAATCCACAACGCTCACCTGCAATCCTGAAACCCAAAAACTTCGGGAAATAGGAAGCACTTCTGTTATGCCTCCGGTGAAAACCCGACCTGTGGGCACGTGAGGCTGCTCATAGCCTTTCCATCCCACTCAGAGTGAACACCACCACGTCCCACTGAGCTGGCTGGCGTTTGCTGTGATCCTGGAAGCTATGCCACCAGTATCTCAAATACCAGCAAGGTCACCCGCGGTGGACAGGTGTCCGTGGAGCTTCCAGACTAACACAGACTGGGAAGAAAAACCTCAAGATCGGCTGCTGAAAATCAGCCCCTGAAAAACGCTCTGGATCACAACAGAACGCGGTCTGACTTGCTCGCTTTGGACCATCATCAGTCTCTGGAGGAGGACGCCACCCTTGGTGAAAGGGCCAGAGAGGGCACAGAAGACCCTCAGGGAGACGGACGCATACATGCCGGTGTTCCCGAGACGGACGAGGGACCAGGCACCTTCCGTTCCACTGTCACCACAAGTCAAGAGTCAGCTTGGCAGCAGCTGTCTGTCTGTCTAGAATGACCACCCAGACATTTAACTACTCACACATTACTCATACATTGGATGGAAGATCTTGCCCCAGACCACGCTCG